TACAATATTAAATTAACAGCTAAAAATCATTCATTCATTCATAACAAATGACGCAGCACAGTCGAACGAGAAAAACAAGTAGCTAGCCTTAACTAGGAGCTTAGAAGGGTGTGAGATGGTCCTCATTGGGAAAAACCATGCATGCCTCGAAGACCAAGATCGAAGCAGTCGCCTTAATTCAGCTGGATACTTTTCCAGAAGATTGGCTTTTCTTCTTCCAACCGCGTATTTTGATTAGATGGTTCTCAGAAGTTCTTTTTTGGTGGTCTAAGGTCATCTCCAATCGAGGATTAACGAGATGACTAGTTTTGATTTTCTGGTCCTCTAAAATATTAATATTTTAATAAGCAATACATGGTCATATATGCCTCCATCTCCAACCGAGGTCCAAAAAGCCATATGACTTGTTTTAGCTTTATCACAAAAAACCGTCTCTAACCGAGGACCAAACGGCCAAATGGCCAAACATAATTTATTATTTAAATTTAAAAACTAAAACAACTTGAATTTAAAAACAACAACTTAAATTTAAAAACTACAACTTAAATTTAAAAACTACAACTTAAATTTAAAAACTACAAATTAAATTTAAGGCTACAAATTAAATTTTGTGAGGAATAGTGAATGAATGATTTAGGTATTTATAGAAAAAAAAAATTAGAATTTTTAAGAATTTAAAAAAAGGCCCAAAAAACCAAAAAAAAAGAAGAAAAAATTTGAATCCAACGGTAACTGGTGTTAGCTAGCCATTGGATTCAAATTTTGTTTAAGCATACATGTCAGATATAATCGACATGAATAAATTTATATTAAATATATTCATGTCGGTTATATCCGACAAGATTGCTAGAATTTATGGCCAATCCAGGGCTGGCTAGCTTGCCCTTTGGCCCTTTCAAATTCCATGGAGCCCACGAGCCATCTGGCCTAACCTTCGATTGGAGACGATTTTCGGGCTATTTTTGACCCTCTAGACCATTCGGTTGGAGATGACCTAAGTATTTACAAAAGCCACGTTGTCAAATGAGACTGCATGCACTGACTGTGTGGTCATCCTTATTTTTGGAATTGGATCATCTCCGAGGCAAACCCTCGGGATCCTACTGAGCGACAAACACGGGCCGTTGGATTTTGATTCAACGGCTACAATTATTATAACTTTAAGAGGGACCCCCATGTTTGTAGCTGTTGAATCGAAATCCAACGACTTGTATTTGTCGCTCAACAGGATCCTGAGGGTTTGCCTCGAAGAGGATCTAGGTCCCTTGTTTCTGATGCATGCATGCATGCATTCCCCATAAAATATAAAAAAAGAATAGAATTATCTCCCCTCCTATTTTCATCTCCTTCCCTCCCCTCCTTTCACTGTTTCACATATTATTTTTTGTCTTATTATTTCTATAAAAAAATCAATATAAGATGTTGACGTGACTAAATTGTAACCGTTCAAATAGAAATGGATGAAAATAGAAAGAGATTAGGAGGAGAGGGAATCATTCTCCTTATAAAAGTCAGCAAATTACGTAATAAAGTTGCCAAAGTAGAATGTCTCTAGTTGTTGTGGAGCCACTTAGGTATACTGTAGGCGAATTTAGAGAACCAATCCTAGCTTAATTTACTTCCACAAGTTTGATTCATATTTGAATCCGATTGCACTTAGCTCGGATTTTCTTGTTTGATTGTCTCTTTCGCATAAGGTCACTGCCAGAGACTGTTTTGTAGGGTAGTTCAATTGTTTATGAAATATTTTAAAAGATTTCTCAACACTAAGGTTCAAATAACTCCACACAAAAGCTCAATTTATAAGTTTAGTGTATATTTGCATGCATGCAAATTGAGACTAGTGCACCTATATGTTTGTCTCTCTTTACTATACATGTGCATTATGAGCGAAGGTTTAAGTTTGAACATACACTAGGTTTCAAGTTTTGAACTGGGTTCGAACTAGATTGGTTTGAACCCATCAAAGCCAGACCGATTACCAAGGGCAGAGCTACAGTGGGCTTAGGGGGCGGATGGCCCCATTGAGATTTTTTTTAAAGTTTAGAAAAAAATTGTATGCATTCTAATTCCCTATGAGTAACACTGATTAAATAACAATTAAAAAAATGTCTTTTCTGATCAAACTGATCTAGTTCTGCTACGCAGCAGCAGAGCTAGGTTTTATTTATTTTTTATTTTTAAATTCAGACCAAAACGACGTCATTTTGGTTTGTAAAAAAAATTAAAAAAAAAAGAGTAAACGAAACGGCATCGTTTTGTATATGTTTGAAAAAAGAGAGTATGTATAGTGGGGGACCGCCGGTTCCTTCCCCCCCCCCCCAAAAAAAATCCATCTTTGATTCCTTTTTATTGTGGATATGCATTCTAACATTGAGTTTTCAGGTTTAAAAGAGATTGGAGACTTTGCAAAAAAAAAAAAAAAAAAAAAAGGTTCAATGCAAAAAACATAAGGTGTATTCGCTGGTTTACTTGCTTGTGACATTAGCACTAACTCTTCTAGTTGCTACTGCTATCATTGAAAGAGTATTTTCGGCTATGAAATTTCTGAAGAATCGATTAAGAAATTGGATGGGTGATCAATGGATGAATGATAACATGATTATTTTTATAAGGAGAGAGATATTTGATGGTATTGGTAATGATGTTGTCATGCAATGCTTTTAGAACATGAAAATGCGTCAAGGGATATTGTAAGGGAATGTTGTATGAAAACCTTTCTGGATTAATATATAAATATTGTGTTTAGTAAATTCTTGAGCTTTTTAATTATAACTTTATTGTTTGAGGATTCCCCTATTTATATAAATCTTTGGCTTCGTCCATGTTGGTTCGCTTGTCGAAAGTTGAACATTTTTAATGACTCGTTGGACTCTTGCATACATTGCGTAACTGTTTTCTTTGAACTAAGTCTTATTATTCACTCCCTTTTTCTTTCCTTGTTACTTTTCTCATTTTATCTAAAGCTAAATCGAATAATGAAAGAATAATTAAGAGGTAAATACAAATAAAGGAGTGCAAAAGGAAAATATGAGTGTAGAAAGAGAAGGGGTATACAAAAATTATTTAAGTAATGACTTTTTTCTGTAAAAAAAGTTATTAGGAAAACATAAATTCTAACGTAAGATCTAAGATGTTAAGATGCATATTTTTTTGAACAAACAATATTATCTACAATAAGGAGAAAGGGGTGGGCTTAGCTTTATAATAGACTAACAATAATATGGTTCAAATTTGCCTTTAACTAGAAGTGGCAAGTTAACACATTAGGCGGTTAACAGATACCCATAAAAACTCATTTAGTTTGATTTCACCTTACATCATCATTATCACTACTAATCTCATCTGTATATTATGGTATTATCAAATTAAACAGGTCTTTAATGAATATCATCAACAACCCAATGAGTTGATTTGTCACCAATAGCCTAGCCATGTTAAGGCTACTTGGGTTATAACCCAGGTAGCTTTTCGTAAAAAATTAAAATTTTACATGTAATTTTTATTGATTTTCGAATGTAACACATCGTATATTTAGTCACTAATCCTAATTCTCTTTGTTTAACAATACAAAATTATATAATACAGTTTACAAACCATCTATTTTTGTTGCATCCTTTTTCTCATCGTTTCTTGTACATGTACAAGTTTGGATTGTTTGAATTTTAACATATATTTGTCTAATAACGAAAATTCTTGACTCACCTTGTGAAAATTTTCTTAAGCTAGAGGATACTTTGAAAACTACAATACTAAATTTCTTTATTTATAAAAATTTAAATATTTAAGCTAGCCACCGGGTAAAAATTTTCTATCTTTTTCACCTCTACTTTTAACAAATCAAACTATAAACATATTGCATTTTTTTATATAGTTATAGTTGTGTCAACTTTGAACATTTATCCCCCCCCTATATCCAATGAGAGAAATCACTCTTCCCCCACCCACCCTAGCTCTTCCCACTTGTATAAAACGAATATAATACATTTAGTTTGAACATTCCTCAATATGCCACGTCTTTTGGTTGTCTCCATGTTGAGGTGGTGGATCCTCTCCAAGGCAAACCTTCGGGATCTTGCTAAGTGACAAACACGGATCGTTAAATTTCAATCCAATGACTATAAATAGAAGGTCTCTTTTAAAGTTAAAATAATTGTAACCGTTGAATCGAAATCTAACGATTTCTATTTGTTGCTCAGTAAGATTCCGAGAGTTTGCCTCGAAGAGGATCCAGTTCCGTGGCAGGCAGGAATTCTCGACAACATGCCATCCAAGGCAAAACCTATTAACCAAAGCAACCAATTAATTAAACCTAGATATTCAATAACATTTAAAGAATATAAAAAATAAAAAATATTGCAAGAAGAAGAAGATATTTTCGTTGCCTTTGCCTACCCTGTGGATTTAAACCAACCTCAGCGGTGGCCAACTGTCACCAAAGCATACAAAAAACCAACCCCACACCCTTGACTCTCTCTTTCTCTCTCCTGCCTTTCTCTCTCTTGAGTCTTGGTTGAAAAATGGGTGTTTGAAAATTAAAAACCAATTTCAGGTGACGGGATTTGTGGGACCATTAATTTTTTTTTGGGTCAATTTTGTGGGACGATTTTACAGCCTGAACAACTTGATCATTTATCAAAGCAGAAGCTTCTTAATATCGGGTCTCTCTCCCTCTCCTCTCTCACATGTATTTTCTGATGGAGGAGGATCTTTTACCCTCCTATTCCCATTTCTTCATTCTCTCATACATTATTTTTTATCTTATTATTTCTATAAAATAATCAATATAAGATGTTGACGTGATTTAATATGACCGTTCAAATATGAAAGCATGGAAAGGTCGAGAGAGTAGGAGGCAGAGAACCATCCTCCTTTTCTGATACCAAAATTACCAATCTTTTTCTACAAAGCCTATATTTGCTTTTATCCACGAGCAAATATAGCTGTAACGGAAGAAAAACAGAGCTTAATAACCTAGAGAGAGAAAGCTATAGAGAGAGAAGCAGAGAGAGATTATGTCAAAGAAGAAAAAGAGCTTTAAATGCGAGTTGGTGATGTGGTTTTCTCTTCTTCATACACCTAGCCATCCCTCCTCACTTTATATATATATATATATATATATTATTCATGTGCAGGGAGATATTCTTAGTTTAAAAAGGGTTTTAAATTCATATATTTTTGCTTTAAGATCAACTAACATCCAGCTACAAACCCAAAAGCCTTCTTCTTCTATAAACGCAAATGGCAATGGATTTATTGCGCACCCATCTCGTTTTTCTCCTTCCTATTCGTTTTCGTTGGGGAATTTCATCGAACGGGTCAAGGATTTCTGCAACTTCGCCGTCTCTGCGGTTCTGGGGAACGTTTTCTCTGCGATCTTCACCTTCTTCTTTGCATTAGGTTTGTTTTATTTTCTGTTTTCTGAATTGCGTTCTGCTTGTTCATTGAAGGTTGTTTACCTTCTTTTGCTATTGCATTCAAGGGTGGAAATTTTGCAATGAATTGGATTTTGGCTCTTGGAATTCATAATTTCTGCAGGAAAGATCATTTGGGTTTCTGTATCTGTGACAGAGGAAATGAATCCAATAATTGCATGTATTTGGATTCCTGAATTTTGTGGGGAGAATTGAATTGAGTTGAATTTCATATGCCATTGTTTTGTTAAATTCTGGCTCCAATCAAAGTTAATAGCTTTACTGGATGACAAAAGGTTTTTTTTTTTTGGTAAAGTTTGTTCATCAATATGTGTGTATTTGTGTCTGGATCCTTGGAACATAGCGCGTTTTCGAAACTAAGAACTGTATGTTATATTGTCCTTCTGGGAACATGCGATAAAATTGGAACGATACAGAGGAGAATTGTATGTTATGATAAGATTCTCACTCAATGAAATGGTAATTTTTGTGTGCAGTGGGCACCATGTTAGGAGCAATGACTGGAGCTTTGATAGGGCAAGAAACTGAGAGTGGATTTGTGAGAGGAGCTGCAGTTGGAGCAATATCAGGAGCTGTTTTTTCAATTGAAGTGTTTGAATCTTCCCTTATTCTTTGGCAATCAGATGAATCAGGAATTGGGTGTCTTCTGTATTTGGTGAGCAATTAAAAATTTGGGGACCCCATTCTTTATATGGTTAGGTGGTCACTGTTCAAATGCCTCAAATGTTTGGTTTATTAGAATATTAAGTAGCAAATGCCATTATTATGGGTGCCTAATTCGTGTTTCGTGTAATCTATGCAGATTGATGTCATTGCTAGTCTCCTAAGCGGTAGATTAGTCCGCGAGCGGATTGGCCCCGCCATGTTAAGTGCAGTGCAAAGTCAGGTAATTTCAATGCTTAGATGCTAGTCTTATGTGAGGCAACATAAACTCCAAGAGGCTCATTCATGAGCTTGCTAATTACTAAATTATTATTCGTTCTGCTGTGCTTTAACCAGATGGGTGCTGTGGAATCAAGCTTTGACGAGATCCCCAACATCTTCGACACTGGCGGCTCCAAAGGGTTGCCCGGAGATTCAGTTGAAAAGATCCCAAAGATCAAAATTACCTGCCACAACAACGTGGATGCTTCTGGGGAGAAAGTCTCCTGTTCAGTTTGCCTTCAGGTAAAAAAAAATCTTAAAAAACCGTCTTTCGCTCATCAGCGAGAGAATTAGTCTCTGTTTCGAACTTAGCTATTGATATCGTGAATTTTTTTTACATGATCAGGATTTTCAGCTTGGAGAGACAGTAAGAAGTTTGCCACACTGCCATCACATGTTTCACTTGCCTTGTATAGATAAGTGGCTCCTAAGGCATGGCTCATGCCCTCTCTGCAGAAGGGATCTGTGAATCTGATGATCTTCCTGTAAATTACCAAATGAGTAAAGAGTTGTTTATTGAATTATACAAATTTTGTACCCTTTTCATCTCTACTGTCATTCACCAGGCTGCTCCAGTAGCTTCATGCTACATTGTGAATTCATGTATAAAAATTTTGATTGTGGTACTTATAAACCTTTTCATTGCACAGAATCCCCTCCTTTTAACTGTTTTACAGCACTCCTTTGGCACTGCAAGGACATTGTTGTAATCCTACTTTTTGTACTCGCAAGACAGACATGGGATTTTTACGGTGTCTTTGAGTATGAGATGCTCCTGGTTTTTTAAACGTAAGATCTTGGAAAAAGCTCGGAGAATCCTATGCTCTGGAACGCCATAGAAATTTGGGTTGTGATTTTCAGACTTCCTTAACTACTTTTCTCACACCCATCTCTATTTTTTAATAGTTAATTGGTATCCTACATTTAATCTTTCATATATACCCTTCCTACTCTTTTATGGTAATTAATGAAAGATTAAATAGAGGGGTATATATGGAAGATTAAATAGTACGATACCAATTAAGTACTAAAAATAAGGAGGGGTGTGGAAAAAATAGTTAAGGGTGTGTGAAAATCACAACCCTATAAATTTTTGCCCATTTATAAGGGTCTATATGAGTTTTAGTTGAATTAGGAATTTTCAATTGCAATGCCAGATTTGTCTGCACAAGTAAAGATGTCAATAACTATTCTAGCATGGTCTCACCTGTTGTGCATGCCACCATGCCTCCCCTTACAAGGAAAAGTCCTTTTTAGGTCAAACAATATCATGCCGGGGGGGAGATTCGAATATATGATCTCGTGTGCAATAGAAAACGCTCTTAATTATATGAGTTACAAATTTTTCGCTTTGTAAAGATGATTTAGAAGTTATCTTTTCCATAATCCCACTTTAATCCACAGAGCAATTGGGCTTAACTTTCCATTAACATAATGCGTAACCCAATAATTTCTCTTCTGGTGCAACTGTTGAGTATTAGTTGGCTCCAACAATTGACATAGTTTGGTGTAAATTTTGCTGACGAAGTTATCTCATCAGGTAGGTAGGAACTTTATATCACACTAGAAAACATTTTTCTTTTAAATATGGTTGTGTTTTTTTCATGTATATGTTGTGTTTTCTTTTCTTTCCAAGCCATTTTTTCAAGAACAAAATAAAAAAGCCATTTGTGTGTGTATATGGTGTTCCGAAAAGAATAACCTATGATTGTAGGGAAGTCACTTCCTCACGTATTTTTTCCTTTCATTTTAGATATTTGAATTGAATAAATCAAAGTATGATTAAATACCATAAGTAAATAGGAGTTTTCAGATGGAGAAAATTGTGCCAAGATTTTTTCATCATTGACTATAATGGCATGAAATAACATAAACACGAATTAAGTCCGCTTAGCATCTACAATTTACTGTGTTGGACGGTCGGATCATACCCATGCCGTCCAATCACATGTGTAGCAACGCGTCGATCTTACTTCCTTAGTACTACATAACGTCAACAAGAATATATGATGTTTCTATGACCTTTTATGGAATTACCCTGTGCAATGTAACAAGCAATGACAAACTTTCTAACCAAAGTAGGTAAAATCTCTTCCTGATTTTCTACGGTATATCAGATTTTCAATCTTATTCTTGCAAGACCGGAATGAACTCCGACTCAAGTCACTTGTGAAGAATATATCGTACCTGTAAATTATTAAACATGTACGCCAAATCTTAAAAGTAACCTTGTCATTGGAACCGGATCCCCTTTGAACCTAATAAAGTTGAGCTTGCTAAGTAAGAGATTCGGACTGTTGAAATTTGATCTAATGGTTTCAAACATGGGGCCATCTAAAGTTATAATAATTGTAGTCGTTTGATCAAATTTCAATGGCCTAGATCCCTTGCTCAGCAGACTCGGTTTATTTAGGTCCGGAGGGGATCCGGTTTCCTTGTCATCTACTACTAATAAGATAAGGGAATTAAATTAAGGAAAAGAGATTCCTTGGATTGTTCAAATAAATAATAATAATCCAGACAATGCTCAGTTTAGACGCTTGTTTTATTTTATTTATTTGAGCGTAGTATGGATATCAAATAAAGCTTTTTATAGTAGTTTGAGTAAGTGTGATATTTATATATAGGAATTTGTCAGTTTGAGTTTGAGACCTATAACATTAATGCTACACTAGTTTAAGTTTAGTAATTGTTGGAGTCACACTTAAAAACCTACTAGTTTACACTCAAATATTCCGGCCGACTGTAAAAATACGATTCCAATATAAGCTCAATACATTAGTAACATGCTTTTTTGTTTCGGTCCACTGTAAAAAGCTTAAGGGAGAGATTCTTGAGCGCCGCTTGAGTGTATTCTCATGAATAATAAACGATCATCACATAAACATATTACCTGATCAAAATTATAAACATATAAGAATGTATATCGGTTGTTGATAAGAATCTCCGCACATAAAAAAACATTAAAGCAAACACAAAATATCTTGTAGCCAATAGCCATTGAGCTGCCCCAGTGTCTAAAAGCCCCATAGCATAAATAAATAGAGCACTACTAGAACAAGAGAGTCATAAGAAGTTAAGAACTTCAGCTACCACATGAATAATTTAGAACTCTCAAATAAAACGTGAGGGCCATAACCATGTTATTATATTGTAGACCTATCATCTGTGGTAGCTTTAATTTCTAACACTATACATGTCACATCCTGGTCCGGGTCTACCACATTTCGGGTCCGTTCCATTACCGTAGCACGATATTATCCGTCTCCTTCTCGCTTAACTTCAGAGTTCCTACGGAACCCGAAGCCAATGAGCTCCCAAAAGGCCTCGTGCTAGGTAGGGATGAGAATATACATTTAAGGATCACTCCCCTGGACGATGTGGGATGTTACAATCCACTCCCCTTAGGGGCCCAACGTCCTCGTCGACACACCTGCGGCCAGGGATTGGCTCTGATACCATTTGTCACATCCCGGGCCCATTCTACCACCGTAACACGATATTGTCGGCTTTGGGCTTACCATTCCCTCACGGTTTTGTTTTTGGAAACTCACGAGCAACTTTCCAGTGCGTCACCCATCCTAGGAGTGCTCTGGCCTCCTTCTCGCTTAACTTCGGAGTTCCTACGGAACCCGAAGCCAATGAGCTCCCAAAAGGCCTCGTGCTAGGTAGAGATGAGAATATACATTTAAGGATCACTCCCTTAAGCAATGTGGGATGTTACAATCCACCCCCCCTTAGGGGCCCAACGTCCTCGTCGACACACCTCCGGCCAGGGATTGGCTCTGATACCATTTGTCACATCCCAGCCCGGGTTCACCACATCCCGGGCACATTCCACCACCGTAACACGATATTGTCCGCTTTTGGCTTACCATTCCCTCACGGTTTTGTTTTTGGGAACTCACGAGCAACTTCCTAGTGAGTCACCCATCCTAGGAGTACTCTGGCCTCCTTCTCGCTTAACTTCGGAGTTCCTACGGAACTCGAAGCCAGTAAGCTCCCAAAAGGCCTCGTGTTAGATAGGGATGCGAATATACATTTAAGGATCACTTCCCTGTGTGATGTGGGATGTTACAATCCATCCCCTTTAAGGGCTCGATGTCCTCGTCGATACACTTTCGGCCAGGGATTGTCTTTGATACCATTTGTCACATCTCGGCCCGAGTCCACCACATCCCGGGCCCGTTCCATCACTGTAACACGATATTGTCCGTTTTGGGCTTACCATTCCCTTACGATTTTGTTTTTGGAACTGACGAGCAACTTCCCAGTAAGTCACCCATCCTGGGAGTGCTATGGCCTCATTCTCGCTTAACTTCGGAGTTCCTACGGAACCCGAAGCCAATGAGCTCCCAAAAGGCCTCGTGCTAGGTAGGGATGAGAATATACATTTAAGGATCACTCCCTTTGGCGATGTTGGATGTTACAATCCACCGCCCTTAGGGGCCCGACGCCCTCATCGACACATTTCCGGCCAAGGATTGGCTCTGATACCATTTGTCACATCCCGGCCTGGGTCAACCACATCCCGGGCCCGTTCCACCACCGTAACACGATATTGTCCGCTTTGGGCTTACCATTCCCTCACGGTTTTGTTTTTGGGAACTCACGAGCAACTTCCCAGTGGGTCACCCATCCTAGGAGTGACCTGACCTCCTTCTCGCTTAACTTCGGAGTTCCTATGGAACCCGAAGCCAGTGAACTCCCAAAAGGCCTCGTGGCCTCGTGCTAGGTAAGGATGGGAATATACATTTAAGGATCACTCTCCTGGGCGATGTGAGATGTTACAAGGGGTCTGACGTCCTTGTCGGCACACTTCCGGCTAGGGATTGGCTCTGATACCATTTGTCACATCCCGGCCTAGGTCCACCACATCCTGGGCCCGTTCCACCACCGTAGCACGATATTGTCCGCTTTGGGTTTACCATTTCCTCATGGTTTTGTTTTTGGGAATTCACGATCAACTTCCCAATGGGTCACCCATCCTGGGAGTGCTCTGGCTTCCTTCTCGCTTAACTTCGGAGTTCCTACGGAACTCGAAGCCAGTAAGCTCCCAAAAGGCCTCGTGCTAGGTAGGGATGAGAATATACATTTAAGGATCACTTCCCTGGGCGATGTGGGATGTTACAATACATCTCACATCTTTGCAAGTACAAAACTTTAGTAACAGTAGTTAACAACATGGGATAATTTGGTTCTTAGGAATTAGGTTTTATCTGCAAAATTACAATGCGTTGGACAGATTTATCTATATGTGTGTGTGTGTCATTTTCTTTTATTTTTTCAAGTCAAACTTGAGATATCTTCCATACAACTAAGTTGTTATAACTATTACGTACAATTTCTTTTATTTTTTCAAGTCAAACTTGAGATATCTTCCATACAACTAAGTTGTTATAACTATTACGTACAAAATTGTTGACATGTTTACCTTACATGAGTAACGGACTGAGAAACTTAGAAATATGAGTAGTAAAGAACAAGATTTGGATCAATTAATCCCCATCAATTAATCCCCATTAATTGATCTGATTTTAACTTTTAAGTATCATTACGAATTTTAAAAGAAAACTCACATTTTTTTAGTTATATATGTGTTAATAAACACCTAAGAGGTTAAGAATTAAAATGATCTATACATCAGTTTTG